ATTCATTCATTCATTCATTCATTCATTCATGGTGTGTTTCTTTACTTCGTTACTTCCCGCAGGTTTGTTCCAAGCCGCGGGTGGCTGGAAGAGAGGCCCCCCCGGGGGGCCTTTCGTTCGAGACTGTTGCTTCCGAACCAGCAGAAAAGACACAAGCGACCCCCAAAAAAAAGACACAAGTGAACCCCAAAAAAAAGACACAGGTGACCCCCCTTCCACCCGTGGCAGCGCTACCTAAGGCGAGAGAATGCAGAATGGCTGGCAGATCCTTAAGACCATCCCCGTAGTGCTCTATGTCGTCAACATAACCGGCGGCAGGGACACGCCTGGCAGCACTCGTGGTGTAGGCAGCTCCGTCGCATGCACGGAGGCGGAGCAGGGGGTCTTGGGCTGTCCGAGAAAGCTCAGGCGACGAGATTGCCCCTTGCGGAACCCCCCGAATGACCGCCAGGGGCTGGGAGGGGCCTGAGCGCGTGTCGAGTGTGACTCTGAGCTTGCTGAACAGCGAGCAGTGGAGGCGGCGAACTGCATCGGGGATGCCCCGTCCTTGTTGTACCGCGTCAATCTGCGGGAGGTTGAGTGTGTTAAAGAAGTTCTCAGTGCATATAGAAGTATACAAAGTAAGAAGAAGGTGTGTATGTATATATGTATATACACATGTGCGTGTGTCTCTGCATCTATATAGACCCATACTTACTATAGATTTTCTTTAGAATAGAAACAACGTGCATACACATTCATATACATACATACATCTATATTTTTTCTCAGTGGAGCGCAAGTCCGTATTTCCCAGAGAGGCTGGAAGGTCTCAGAGTTGGCAGCACCAGGAGTGTACCAGAAAAAGGCCGTAACCAAAAAAAAAAATAATTTACAACACCCTTTTTCTCACACGCCTCTCCCGTAGGAGGTGAAAGCCGGAAACCACCGCTCTTACGGCGGGGCGGAGGCCGGGGACGAGGTGGTGAGCCCGCGACTTTTCGGAGAAGCAGCTGCAAAAAGTCACGTGACACTCCCTTGCAAGCGGCGCTCGTTCACTACTGGTATTCTCAGCAGAGCGCAACTCCGTTTTCCCCCGCTGTGCTTCGCACTGCTGCATGTATATTGAGTGCATATCTTGGGCTTCTTGGCCCATGGGTTTTCCATAAACCTGCCAGCCTTCGTCTTCACGTTAGTCTTCATCGGTGACAAGACTCAGCCAACTACGGTAATTGCTGAAGAGATTCGCCACGTGCTCATGTTTTTCACGTCTTCGGTCAACTGCGTGTAAAGGCCATTCCGTCGACGAGCCGCATCCTCGAAATTATCCGGTTTGAGCAGTGCTTTACTCTCGTTCATCTCTCTCGCCTAATGAGTTTGGAGAAATTTTTCTGGTCGCGAATGCAATTCGGTTGCAGCATGATTCAAGCAGAACTCTGATACATCTTCCGAGGTGTCAGTTGGGATAAGGCTCATCATGCTTGCTCCGACAACCAAAACAGTTGAAATCCGTTGATTCTTTTAGGACTTGAGCAACGGTCACGACTTGAATGAACTCACCTATCATCTTCCTCTGCTTGTGTGTGCACGCTGTGCGCAGAGTGCCCTCGCGTATGTGCGTGCATGCGAAGCGGGCCGGTGCATGCACGGGTGCGTCTCGACTGAGCTAGATCACCTCAAAACCTCTGCAGGTTATAGAAGCGGTAGATGCTAGGTGAACGCATACTTGGCATGACGTATTTGTAGCTGTCGACACGGCACGTGACGCTTACCACCTGTAGGATTGCCCACCCGGCACCATGCGAAAACATCGGCACTTGCAAGTTTGGAATCCTTGTGATAAATCCACAGAGAGTCACTCTGGCGCACCGATCTTGGAATCCGCTACCCGTGATTCCGCCCGTAGACTCTCATCGTGCACGACAAGATGTTGAGAGACGTAACAAAAGCATCAAGGATGGCTTCTCGGGCGGGCGGATGAACATGACTCAAGCCGAGCATGGCGAGCATGAATGGCTGCCATGCGGTTGAGAGCTCGGTCATGCCATGCAGATCGAAAGTCCTCTCTAGCCAGATGCCTCGGGTGTAAAGTCTTTGCCAGGTATCTTAGGCGCCGACTGCATCGTCTCCGGTGGCAGAAGCAGAGTCCGCGGGCTTCACCTCCTCCTTCCAAACTCGTGGAATTTTCACTAACCCCGCCCCGGCATCCTCGAGCCGTGCAGAGCCGTGCACCTCGCCACTCATGGCCGGCTCTAACTCATGCTGGCGGCAAACCGTCTCGTGCAGCCAACGGGATCTACGGACAGCACAGCAGTCGCATAGAGTCTGGCGCAGTCACGATGTGGCAAGCGGTGGGGGGGAGGTAGGTTAAGTTAGAATCTCTGAGCCTCTGAGCCAACAGCCTCTGTCCAACGAACACAGCGGCGCTCTGCTCAAAGCGGTGCGCAGATTCCGCAGATTCCGAAGAGTTCTTCTTCCGAACTCCGCCTTTTGACGACCGTAAGCCTTATCCCCCCTCAGCTTGGCGGAGCAGGTCGCGGGGCCCCGCCCTGCGCATCGCCGAAGAGCGCGCATTGCCCCGGCCATGGCGCCTAAATGCGTCTCAGCCTAAGCTCCTCCCGCTGCGGCCTCCTTTTCCGGCGGCCTATGAGAGAGTCTAAGAAAAGCCTAAGGAAGAGTCTAGCAAGAGCTTGAGCAATCGCTGTGCTTCGAGTCGCATGTTGCAGATACACGGGGCATGCTCGAATGCCTTTGGCCATTCAGCCATTCAATGGGCAGGGTTGTCTTTTGCCGTGCTTTGCAGCGACGAGTCGAGACTGTTAACAGCCGAAGTCGCGAACACTGCTCAGTGCTCACGCAGGCACACAGGCATGAAATGCACCGTATGCAGGGTTGCGTGTTTCGCAAGCCTAGCGGCACTTGGCCGTAGCTGCTTGAGCTGCGGAACTTACACCTCAGCGTCGGGGCCCTCTTCGGCCCACGTGTGACAGTGATCAGGCCCCTGCGCAAGGGCCATAGCAAGGCACACCAAGTCCCAGCGGCAAGCAGCCTAAGGCAGTACAGCCGAAAGTCTGTGCATTGCGAACGTCTGTCACGGAAATTGCCGCGCTTATCTTGGCAAAACCAGCTTCCCAAAACATCAGCTGTTTGCAGTGACTCGTGGACTCTCCTTGGCCTCCGACGCCGGCGGCGGCGAGTCAGTTCCCCCACCCGCTACTTAACTTACAAGCCTGGGTGCTTTTGTGCCCCACGGTTCGTTTGACAGACCCCGAGGCTCAACACATTCTCACAGACTTTCTACAGGCTTTAGAGATCTTACAGCGTCCAGCCGTAGCGGCAGGACCATGCACAGGTGGCTGGAAAGCTGAGTGGTATACCTCAGCTGTCCCAGCGGATCCCTGCGACTTTGCACATCTTGTTATAGCATGCACCCTGTAGGGCACCAAGCGTTGAAGCGGCAGCATGACCAAGCAGGTCGGCTTGCACATAGACTCACCCGTAGCGTGTGGCTACCGTCAAGCACCGCGGAGAGCAGGCATGCTGTGTCTATTCGGGCAACCTGATGTGCACAGAGCCACCAGCAGTGAGAGCCTCCCCAGCTACTATGTCATTGTCGCGGCACCTTTGAAACCTTCAACAGGCCGACTCACGGCGGCAGTGCCTTCGCCGGCAAAGCAGGAGCACGAGCAGCTGTGTTCGTGGAAAGCCCCGAAATCGAGGCTAGCAAAACGAAGGCAAAGAAGTCAAAAGAAGCAAAACCTCAGCTCCTCAGCTCGCATAAATGATCGGATGCAAACCCTGAGCGGATGCAGACTGCATGGAAGGGTGGCAGCTTGACTTGGGCACCTAAGTCGCAGCTTGCTTTGCAGAGGTTGCGTGGCAAGGAACTGGCACTGGGGAACGAAACCGCGCATGCGGCTGGCAGCTGGCTGCGATGCGACGATCCGTTCGTCCTCTGCGGGCAACTTGAACTTGAAGCTGGGAGCTCCTAGAAGCTCCGTGAGTGGGATCAAGAGTGTACGACGTGCCAAGTTGTAGGACTCACGCTCGCTGGCCGGCGTTGCAAGGGACATGCGAGGTGCTGTGCCGCCACTAGGTGGGAAGACCGGCAGAATCTCCCTCGTTAGGATCCATGGCACATCAAGTTGCTCCTCGTTGGGGTAGCGGCAGTTCGTGCAAAGTCGTGCAAGTGCGCGGAGCCACCGCAGTGCGTGGCACCTTGCGCAGGCTGGAAACCAGCAAAGACATCAGGAGCTATCATCTATAAAAATATCGACATTTACAACCAAGTATGAAGCATGTGGTGTTGTTGCGAGGCTGCCCGGGGCAGGATATGTCAAAGGCATGTTCAGGGCCTTCTCATTGCGCACCAGCGGTTAAATCGCATCGTCTGCAGGTCACTCCCACTCGCAGTCCCACGCGCACCGTTTCCGAAGAGAGGTTTCGGAAACAGAGTCCAAAGTTGCACTCCGGTTGTGGCGTGACCTCATCGCCTCTGGCGTTCCCTTCCGGTCACTTCGTTTGCCGCCAGGACGGCTTGGCAGTGCAACTTAAAAGAGACTGGCACAGTGACCACAGTGACTGCCGCAGCAGTTTTTGACATCGCAACGAGAGGCGTCGGACAGCCGCGAGTTTCTTGTGTAGCACTCGGCTTATCACGTGGGCTTCACGGACAGGGGCGGTGAAGCAGCGTTTGAATTTGGCTTAGGAGCCTCGACGCTGGCACGGCTTGTGTGCTGACCGAACAGCCGCCGGCTGACTCTCTGGTAGCCTTCATTGGTGTCAGACAAACTGCGAGCTGCTCTGACGAAGGCGGATCTGTGACATCGCCAGTGGCTGCCTTGGACGGATGACTGCACGGGAGCTGGAATGCAATGACAGGCCGGATTGGCGTCGGTGGATTCTCAGATGCTTCCCCAAACAGGCACGACAGGCCAACACGGAGCAGGCACTGCGAGCAGTGGCCGTGGTGCTAGCAGAGCTTGCAGGGCATCGCGACGGTATGCCAGCCTTCACAGACAGACATGAAGGGCCAAGCGGGCACAGGGTGACACCCGCAGCCGCCACGTCCTCTGATTTGCTCTCTTCAGGACACCGGTCGCAACAAGCCGGTTTGCATCTGGGTCAGACTCGGCACGCCGCAGGCGAATGCCCAAATGGCCCAAGTGGGCAAGTGCCAAAGAAGCGTCTGTCAGAAGCAGCACGAGTTGAGAAAAGCCCTGCAGCTGCGGCTGCACCCCGTGTTTCTGTGTCCTCTTTTCAATTAAAGTCAGCGGAGGCCACACATGTGCGGGGCTGAGCTCAGCGACCCGGCACTGATCCGAAGACCCCTTAAGAACTGGAAAGGGGAAGGCGGAGGCGGAGGCCGAGGCCCAACACCTGCCCGCCTGACCCTTGCAGCCCTAGCGGCCCTAGCGCGGCCCTGGCCCTGGCAGAGAAAGCTTTTTTCTCACGACTCGCGACCCGGAGACTCGCGACTCGAGACTCGAGAGCTCCACGTCAGGACACATCCTCTAAAGGCACCTCAAAGCGCTCAGAGCGGATGCTGCGGGCCCGGGGGCAGACTTTAGATTCTGCCGGCAGAAATCTGCAGGGCTGCAAGCAGGTGCCGGTCAAGCTGAGCAAACTGGGCTCAGGCACGGGCACGGGACAAAGCCGAGACGGGAGGCGTCGCGACAGCCGCCAGGGCCCTCTGCAAAGGACTCCCACGCGCAGCTGCGCCGCAGCGGATCCGCGTCAGCGCCGTGCACGAACGGCCGCCCGCACCGTCGGCTTCGGCAGGGATCGTGTCAGAGCGGCATACGATCGCAGACGCTGCCTGTTTTACACTTAAACGTCTGTCGCTTGCAAATTGCGCCGAGTGATGCGGCTACGAGACTACCGATGCAAAGACAGGAACGCTAAGGTTGAAAAACTTCTGAGGAACTTGCAGAGCCGCGGGGAACGGCCAGGCTACGGTGAGACGCTCTGAACAGGAAGCGTCCTGGAGTATCATTTTGAGGCTAGGCCGGCGAGGCCAGCGGCTAGGCGAGTGCCTCCCTTGCGGAAGGTTTGACACCGAAATTGAAGCTGCACCTGATCGGAAAGGGCGGAACGGTCGACTGGAGGCCGACGTTGGCACGAACAGAACAGTACCAAGTGACCGAATGGATTGGGATCACATGCGATCTCATGTGCGAAAAAAACAACTCGGTGTACGACAAAAGCTACAATGTACTACTTGGCTGAAGTGCCTAGCTGAGACTGATCCAATCTCTTGGTGTGTGTGTCATGTGCTCGGCTGACGGCCGAGACGTAGTTGTCTTGTGCTCAAGGCTAGGCCAGATCCGTCAGAGGCAGCTGACGCGCTCCCTGAGAAATCCCCGGCCCCTTACTTAAACTTGGGCAGAGAGAGCGGAGAGAGCGGAAAGGGGGACCCCTTTTCCTTGGCAGAGAGCGCTGAGCTCTGAAGGGGCCGAGAGCGAGCTGAAGACAAGACCAAAAGGCGGCGGCCGCAGCGGGAGCCCGCAGCGGGCCCGGGCCCGGGCCCCGCTGGCCCCGCTGCGGCAACGCGGCAACTCGCTGACTCCAAGAAGTCACTTAGACATCGCAAATCGAGACATCCTGCCACACCTCAGACATCATGGTCCGGCACGGCTAAACTGAAGGGTAATGGCTTTGCTAACTTTGCTAACTGCTTGTCCCCTGTTCACACCGTCAACTGTCAACTCTATCGAGGACTGCAGCGTGTCGATCACGGGCCAATCCTCGATACGGCCTGGCCTGTCCAATGGCCAGCCTGAGCCGTCAGCTGAGACGCGTCTCGGCCCGAGGATGTCGTATATAGATCCCTCGGAAAGGATCGCAGGCGCAGCTTGGATGCCAGGGAGCCAAGAGCTGCGCAATCACTGGCTCAGCGAGGTGTTCATGCTGCTGCGGCTCGGGTCGTACAAACACCTCGCATCACTGACCTCCACTCTGACATAGATCGTCGGATTGGTGCATGGCGACTTCACCTCCAAAATGACGTTGGCATGACCGGCACCAGGGCTGGCGTCGACTGGTGGCAGAGCTTGGGCTTCTCGCAGGACCTTGAGACTTGCCCTTGAGCCGAACTGCACTTGCATCTGCACTTGAAGGGACCGGGCCCGAAGTCGGCAAGGCACCGCTTCAGAGTTTCAAGCATCGCAGCTGCAAGGCTGGCAGGAAGTGATCGAAGAGCTCCGCCTCGAACAGGTGAGCTGGCGTCTTCGGCGAATGAGTGCGCTTTATGTGGCTGCCACGGCCAGATAGTCAGTCTGCACGTAACGCGGCAAACGAGCGCCCCGAAGGCGGCGGTCCACCAGGCGAGCGTAGGCCACCAGTCGAGCGCGTGTGCCAGGAGGGCAGGCTCCCACTGCAAGTTCCGTCAGGGAGAGCAAGAGCAAGGAACCGGCACTTCACAGAGCAGCACGTCCGACATCTCAACAAGGCTGCCCAGGATTTGGTGCTGCCCCGTCCCGGCGCCAGGCAGTGAACGAAGCCGCAAACCCGCAGACAGCTCCCCTGCACTCGAGGCATAGGCACCCTCTGCCTCTGATACGCTCAGGACGCACTTTGCACAGCCAATCCGAATGCAGCGGGTGCAGGAGATACATCTGTAGGCACTGCAGGCATGGGACTGTCGTGTCTCTCCATGGTGAAAGGCCGTGGCAGGCACGGCGGGTGCAGAGAAAAGGCTACCTGTAAGGGCTGTGTCTAGGCATGTGGCCTCTGAGGGCTTCTCGGCCTCATCTCCCAGCCTTCGATGCGAAGCTCCCAGCTGGCAACTTGGAACCAGCGAGGGCGGAATGACCTCGTGCTGCTTGAATGTGGCTGCTCGGTGCAGAGTCAGCTTCGTCTTCGTCAGCTTCACACGATTCTCATGTTCCTGGGGACAGACCCGAGGCGACTTCCTCCGCCCTTGGCCTCCCCACCAGAGGCTGACGGCTGTCGGCACAGACTTCTGAAATGCACAGAGGTTCCAACGAAGCAGTGTGCAGGGCGTGTTCCCAGGGGTGCTTGCTTTTCAGAACAAGTGGAACAAAAGCAACAAAACTCAAAACATTCAACTCGCTCTGAGGATCTCTCAAGCGCAGGGAGCCGGCTCGAAGCCTCCCTAAACTCCACTTCCTTCTGCGGCCCACGGAAAAGAACACCACCAGTTCGGGCGAAGGCTTAGGAAAATTGTAGCCTTCCGCCGCACTTCTGCAAGACCACCAAATGGGCCAAGTTGGCAAGCATGCTGGAAAACAGTCGCGCAGGGGCTGCTGGAGGACGCCTCTCTGCAGATTTCAAAATCCAAATCGAGCTCTATCCTGTTACTCTAGGATGCGTGCTTTGCCACAAGGGGCCGGCACGCCGAGCAGCAAGGCATGACGCATGGTGAATGCCTGTGCTGACTTGGGAAGCCTCCAAGAAGACGAGCGCAGCGTTCGCTGTGAAGCCTGTGGCAAGTTGGAAAAGAAAGGCCTTCTTGCTAGTGACACCGTGCCAGGCCAAAGACAGCCGAGACTTTCATGTCCACACAGCTCGATGACTCTAGCTCGAAAACAAGCGCCGTGAATGTTCAAGCTCTCTCAACAGGCCAAGCTGTCTCCATAGGCCAAGAAAAAAGCAGATCTACACAAGCTGGCCGTGCAGATTGCGGGAATACAAAAACTGTTACAGATGTCGGCTGGATCACATCCATGCAGGTTGTTGCCTTTCCTCCAAGTGCCTCACACTTCTGCAGCCCCGAATATCTAGGCCTCCATGTAGCAACCCCCAATGCCACAGAGTGCCTGCAAGTAGACATTGCAGAAATTGCAAGGGCTCGAGTCTGCAATGACTGTTGCACTTTCGTTCCTGATTGCACGAAGGAGCTCCGGCATTGTCACTACCCGTTCGGGGACGGCAAGCCTCCAACCAGCACGAGAACACGTCCCACTAGCGACGAGACTCGCTGCGCCAAGACGAAGCATGCACAGCCTGCAAACAGCCTGCAAGCAGCCTGCTTCGGCATGCTTTCTTAACAATGGACCCCCCCCTCTTTTTCCATGAAGCTGAGCCCGCACAGTGAGGCACCAACTGCACCAGCTCACTTTGACTGATGCGGGCAATGTGCATGCCAAGTGCCCCGTGCCGCCACGCAAAAGCCCGAAATCGGTCACTGGTGGCATCTTGGCCAACCTGGTGGCATCGCCAAGACTTGCCGAACGCGGTGACTGCCGCAACGCTTGCAGGCGCAGAAACCTGTTCATGAGCCGGACACATGCCGGAATACTAGAGGGGCTTCTTCCCCAAATGTATACTGCAGCA